CTTTCCTTTTCGAATATTTCAACGGATTTGGCCGTAATCTGTGGTTCGGCGGGAGGCGGGCGTAGTCTGTGGGTAGAAGGAGGGGCACGACGTTTACTACTCCTGGCTGTGCTTCCAAACGAAATGCCTCGAATTATGACACACGGGCGGACGGGCGGGCGGGCGTGCGGACGAACGGACGGACCGGACAACAGACGTGCGGTTGGATAAGCCCTGTAATTACTTTCGCGTCACGTGATAACGTAATGGAAACCATCAGGTGTCTGGAGTGACCGACATTAACGCCCTAATAACAAAATTTATCGTTTTTCGTCGTCGTCGTCCTCGGTGCTTGCACCGGCCCCGGCGATAATTTGGAGCTGGCTGGAAACTCGACTCCGCGCTGCTGCTGCTGTTGCTGCCTTCAAAAGGCGCACCCGGGCACACCACACAAGTGCCCTCATGAAAGCAAAGAATGTGCCAAATTGGCCGGAGACGGAACGCTCGGGGTGGCCTCCTTTTGCCTCGAAAATGCCTCTTTTCCCCGTGTTTTGTCCACAATTTTGATGAGAACTTGGCAGTCCTGTACGGCGCCGATCGTATGCCGCCTCAATGACCCCCCCCCCCCTCTCGCCACGCGGTTCGCTCGCTCCGCGGTCCCTGGTCCCGCCCCTGCACCGTGAAGGACGAACAAATGGACGGACAGACTTGGGGGACAGACGCACGGACGGACGCGTCAGATGAAGACGTCGGCCCGACAGGTTCCAGTTTTTACGCGCAATAATCCCCTGGGATGCGACAGCGCCGGCCGTTATGGCGAGCCGCCGCCGCGCCCAGTCTGCAACACCGCGGAGCAGCCGGGGAGGGTTAAAAGCAGAACATTAAAAGCAAAAAGTGTCGCGCCGCCGGTGTGTTTCCGGCCGAGCCGCGGCAGAGCCGTGCGTGCGCGGGTATTTGTCACGGCTAATGGAATTACAAGTCCCCTGGGCTGGGCCGCAGCCGAGAAGCGAGAAGCTTCAACGCCCCTGCTGCTCCGCCCGTCTCGAGTGTGTAATAACTCGGGTATTGAGGCCCGCGTCTAGAGATGGGGGACAGTTCCAGCAGGAGGAGCAACTTCGACACCACAACTGTTGTGCCGACGAAACGCCGGAGACAAAATCACGTCTCCTTCTTGGGGTCCGCAACTTGTGGCTCGAAGTTTAAGCAGTGTCCCAGAGTTAATAGGAGGGACTTAGAAATGCATATTTTTTAACGAAGACGTAACAGGTCTAAATACTTTTTGAAGCAAACCTCAAGGCTAAGAGGAGACCGTGTGCCGACAGGTTCAGAAATGAAATGAAATACAATTTCAAAACGGATGCCTCGGAGAGAGACGAACCCCACGCAGCTGCAGCGTCCGAGCGCTGGACGAGAACGCATCTCTGCAGGAGCGAGCAAGGAGCGCGGAGAAGGGGCCGGCCTGGGGGGAGCCTGTCATTACCAGCGGCTGGGTATTAATTTGTGCGCTGCACTGCGCTCCTGGAAGAGAGGGCTCCTGGAAGGAAGATGGGCCTGCAGAAGGGAGGGGCAGAGAGAGGGGGCTCCTGGAGGAGGGAGCCGCGCCGGTAGCAAAGAGTGCAGCGTGTAAAATGGGCATGCAGGTTACTCCGACTGCCCTTCTCCGCCCGCCCCTCCTTCCTCTCTCTCTCTCTCTCTCTCTCTCTCTCTCTCTCTCACACACACACACACACACACACACACACACACACACAAACACACACAAACACACACACAGATGTAATAGAAGCTCATTACGACAGAGGAGGGTATAGGGACAGCGTTCCATCATCCATCACATAGGGCCCAAGTACAATGATCTTTGCCCTCCACTCATCCC